TCTCCCTCTCTCTCTTTCTATCTTTCTCGGTGTGTGAGAACCTCCACCGTGCCGAGCCCCTCTCTCTGAGGCCACTGTCCTCAGGCACAACCACTGCTTTGTCTTGCCCTGTGAACACACACCCCTCCTCTACTGGGCGCCTACATTTGCCAGGGCCAGAGAAACACAGGGCCACTGCTCCTATTCTTATCCACGTCGTTGCTCCTGCATGCATGCATCGTGTAAGTGTGTGTGAGTTTGAATGGAAACTTGTTGTTAATGTGGCTCGCACATCTTATACTTTACTAAAGCTCCCAGGTGTTTTCACCATTTATCATCTTTCTGAATGCCAATTTATTGGAGCAAATACAGTTTTTATTTAGGGAGCATGACTGTCTTCCTCATCTTAATCTAGACATGACCACAGTGCAGAAATCCTCCCTTTGTAACAGTAACAGAAGGACTAAAAATGGAATAAAGCAGTAAGTGGATAAGAATCTCGCCGGTGGCCCCTTTCCGACCAGTGGCTGCCGCCTCTCGTCACATTGCTCATTCCCCTCTGTGTCAGGAGGCTGTGAGGAGCTGCAAATGGCCTTTTCAAAACACACGGCAGCTGGAACACAGGGCAAAGGTGACTGAAGCAGTTGGGGGAGCACAGGGAGGGACACGAGGAGGAGGAGGGGGGCACAAGATGAGCAGCTGCAACCTCAAGCCCCTTGTTTCTCCGCTGCCACCTTCTATAGCTTTAACAATTACAGAGCAGGCTCCGGAGACTGTGTTATTTTTAAGAGCCTGAACAAATCTGTGACTTTTCTCTCCCCCCTCCCAAATGTAAATCAAAATTCCTGTCTTAAGTCAATTTAGGCTGGACAAATCAGAGCCAGGACTTGGTGTGGTCTGGGAAAACAAAGGCACTGGGTGGCGTGTGGTGCCAGCGAGTTCCACAACCCAAATCAGGATTAGAGAGAGCAGCCCAGTTGTCTAATAACCCTTCAAATGACAAAGCACGATTTATAATTCTCTGTATCAGTCTGGGTAAACTATACATTAAGAACTTTGATCAACAGATAACAGTTCAGCTTTTCTTTCATCTACAGACAACATTGTGGGAAGCCTGCAAATTAAATGTATCTTCAGGATTTGAGCTTTTTAAATAACATTACCTTTAAACAAGTCTGAATGGCAAGAATTGAGAAAAGGGGCAAACAGGGAGCATTTCCTAAAAAAGGAAAACCTGTGTTCAATAAGACATTTAAACGTTGTGCTCTTATGATCAGACTGTCTACTTGAAGTTTAAACTTGAAAAATAGTTTTGTGTCTTAAAGTTAGTATTGTCAGTAATCTACCCATCCCCTTCCTGTAACACTTCGAGATTCACTACAGCGTGAGTCCCTTCCGCTTTCCTGGGACAGTTGTTTCAGTAAAGAGCCAATTGCTGCTCCCAGTGTACTTTGCTACTTGCTGCCGCTGTGTGAATTCACGCAGTAGTACAGAAGTTATTGTGGCGCTGCGGTATCGCGAGACTTGTGCCATTATCAACCTGCTTGACACACAGCAGCGCCGAGTGCAGCCTGCCTTGCCAGGGTCGGACTGAAGCTCAAGAAACGACAAGGAGAAGCGAACATCTGGCCGAACATCATGAAAGGACAGCGGGACTTGTAGCGAGAAAGACGACGATACCGAAGGGGAATAAATGTAAGTGGAGTGTTTTTCTGTTGGTTTTTCAAACGGAGGAAGCTAAAGTTAAAGAGTGCCCCCCCCCCTCTCTCGCCGCTTCGTTCAGCGCAGTTGGCTTTGCTGTGAGTTCCTCTGCTGTTTAAAAGGCTCCCAGCAATGCGTTTCCCAACACGGACATGGAGCTCGGTTTTACTGCGCCTTTCCGTGTCACACTTTTCTATCCTTTTTTGCAAACGCAACTAATGCGCGCAAAATGATACTCCAGCACGCTGTTCTCGGCAGCTATCTAACTTTAATATCAATTTCACGTTCGTTTTTTTTTTTTCCTCCTCCTTCCAACCTGCTTTTTCTGCGCGAATCAGCCCTTAGAAACGGATATATCTCACAGTTGTACGCGTGCCTCACGAGTGCGTAAAGGGGCCACAAAGCGTTTAATTTTTTATCCCCGGGTGTCGCCTGCAGTTTTCCTTCGCTGATATATGACGCTATTAAAAAAAAAAAAAAAGTTTTGAAATTTCGTGCCATCTTGAGACATTTATAAATCAATCTTTTCTATTTATTTATTTTTACAAGTTGTGTGTCTGGTTTTAGCCCGGAGTTAACATATGGCATAGAGGGGAGCACAGCTGGAGGTAGCGTTTCCATTGCGGTGATGTCAGAGCAGCTGACTCCACAGCTTGCAGTGTAATTAGCAAACAGAGCACCAGTTTACTCACTCTGCACAGGGCTTATTTTTTTTTCTTCTTCTTCACGTTAGCCTCCTTCCCTCCATGGACGGCTGGAATCACTCCCAATCCCACTTCTTGCGTGTTTTTTTCTGAACGGTGCTCCTTTTTTCTTTTTTTTTTGTGCGTGTGGGAACGCGCCGCTGCTTCACTTTTCGCAAAATTTGGGAGCTCTAAGGAGAATTATAGAGACTGCCTCGCTCCACACAGGAATACTTTGGATCATTTGGAGTGTATCCGTTTACTCTGCGATACATACATGGGTGGGTGAGCGCAGCGCAGCGTATCCTGCACCACTGGAAAGAATGGAGGATTTGTGTTCTCAAGTTGGATAAAGTTATTGATGCAGACCTCTCGGCTATGTAAAAAAAAAAAAAAAATGAGGACGAAAGTTTAGAAATAAGTATTTATTTTATGCACTTGTATTTGGGGACTAACAGATTTAAGAGATTGTATGATTGCTCTTGCTCATTCTTTTAAATAACTCGTGTAATTCGGCAAAAGTTTAAACTCAAATCCACTCCACTCTCGCGGTTGCTTGGCGCTTTTCTCTGATTTGTGACCGCAGCCTTGCTCTGCCCTATTAATGGCTTCATTTCGTTTATCGAGTATCCTGTTTTTCCTGTTTTTTTTTCGTCAGGTTATGAAGGAAGAATGGAGTTCCCAGACCATAGCCGCCAGTTGCTGCAGTGTCTGAGTCAGCAGCGTCACCAAGGTTTCCTCTGTGACTGCACTGTTCTTGTCGGGGAAGCTCGATTCAAAGCGCACAGAGCCGTGCTGGCCTCCTGCAGCATGTACTTCCATCTCTTCTACAGGGACCAGCTGGACAAAAGGGACGTTGTGCATCTCAACAGTGACATTGTGACAGCCCCGGCTTTCAGTCTGCTCCTTGAATTTATGTATGAGGGGAAGTTGGAATTCAGCACTCTCCCGGTGGAGGATGTCCTGGCAGCAGCCAGTTACCTCCACATGTATGATATTGTGAAAGTGTGCAAAGGAAAGCTAAAAGATAAGGAATTCTCCCCTCTGGATGAAAAGATGAGCGAGGGTTTGGGTCTCAGCTGTCTGGACAGGGAAAACTCCTCAGATGGCGAGCTGCACAGTAAGCAGCTCATCCGGCGACAGCCCCAGACACAGTCTCATGGGCTTCATCGGCCCCCCTGGCAGAAGAATTTGACACGGACAACAGCGAAGTCAGGCGGGCTGTCACAGATTGTGATAGGTCTACACAGAGCAGGCAGAAGGCAAACGGTCACTCTGGCAGGTCCCCGGACCTTGTAGGTGTCAATTATGTGTCAGCGGAGGCCGAGCCCTGCGTCCAAACAGCTGGAAAAACAAAAGCTGATGTCAGTAGTTCCACCGTATCACTGTCCCAGAGGTCCCGGGCTTCAGATGACATGGACTGTGCACTGGATTTGTCTTTCAAGCCTCTGTCTAGTAGAGATCCCTTACACCCCTCCTATGTCTCGGGACAGCTGGCCCTCGACAGCCAGCAGCAGGGCACTGAGCCACTTGTTAAAGACGAACACGACTTGCTGTCAGAGCAGGAGGACAGTGAGCCGATGAGCCCTGAGAGCCAGCGCTTTGGGAATAGTGCCAGGAGCTCGGTGGTGACAGGGTTCGCTGCCCTCTTCCCAGGCAACAACGGCTCCACAGCCGCCCTGCTCTCCCAGGAGGAGGACCTGATGGACGAGGAGGGGGAGGCCTGCAGGGGGAGGGAGGGCGCCCCGGGCAGGGAGCTAGAGGAGAGGAGGGGGAGGCTGCTGGGGGACAGCGAAGAGGAGGAAGAGGATGACTTGGCCTCCTCAGACATCTCGACCTCCAGCGGGGTGCTCCTGCCCCCGGGCCAACAGGTGTGTGTGTGTCCCCTCTGCAGCAAAGTCTTCCCCAGCCCCCACGTGCTGCAACTGCACCTCAGCTCCCACTTCCGCGAGAAGGACGGCGCACGCTCCAAGCTGTCCCCAGACGGCTCAGTCCCAACATGCATGCAGTGCAACAAGACCTTCTCCTGCATGTACACGCTGAAACGCCACGAGCGCACACACTCTGGCGAGAAGCCATACACCTGTGGCCAGTGTGGCAAGAGCTTCCAGTACTCCCATAACTTGAGTCGGCACGCTGTGGTCCACACACGTGAGAAGCCTCACGCTTGTAAGTGGTGCGAAAGGCGCTTCACCCAATCCGGGGACCTATACCGCCACATCAGGAAGTTTCACTGTGGCCTTGTCAAGACTCTCGCCATTGGATAAATAAAAACACCTCTCACCAGTGCCACAACATAAGACAGAATGTCTTTTCATACACTGAATTCTACTACTGAACAGTTTCCTTATGAATACACACATTTTTCAGTTTGTTGGAGACATATCATTTGGATTCTACCCGATGTGGCATTTGTCAAGTTTAAAAAAAAATGTAGCAACTGTACAAACTGGAGCCGTTTTCTGTGCGCACAAGTGGCCACAGGTTGTTTGGATAAACATGGCCGCTGTGAAACTCATGCTGGATCTGTGTGGACGAAGATGAACAAATCAGACGATGCACTTGTTTGTTTCTGTCTATTCGTGTCAACCTGTCGGAGTTTATTTGAGGAGTGTATCTGCTGAAAGAAAAGAAAAAAAAAAATGCTATGTTCAAACCTTATGGGGGCAAAATGCTGAGAGCTAATGCTAAAATATGTTAATACAATCTTCAGACTGAGTGAGACTTTAATTTGTGCACATGGGAGATCAGAACCGTCCGCAAGTAGCAATATATGATTTTTTTTTTTTTAATCTCCTATATTATTATTATTATTATTATTGTTATTAATATTATTATTTATTTTGGAGATTTTGTTTAGTCCTTAACAAGTAAACTGTCACGAGGCAGTAAAACTAATGAAGTTTGACTACTGGAAGTATCTTCTTTTTTTTTTTTCTTTATGGAAGTAGAAGTTTTATTTGGTTGAAATGAAGTTCTAAGTTGTTTATAAAAGAGGACAAGCAGACCATCACATCACCACATTTCGTCTCGCCTTGGGGTGTGTTGCTAGGCTCTTCAGTTGCTAATGTAAGCGAGCACATGTTGACAGAATGGCCTTGTAATTGCTACTTTAAAATAAGTTGTCTAATCAGAGGAGGGCTGGAGAGTGGTTAAGAGCTAATGCCTGTTATGCTGGTGCCTACTGAAAACACTTCATTTACTTAAACAAGAATGAGATGTACAGACTTGCCTTCTGGTCAAAATCAGTACGTTTTCAGGCCTTACTTAATAAAAAAAAAACTGGAAAACCCTCCACATATCAGGATGTAACAAAGGTAGTTGTTTATTCTGGAGTGAGTGGCCTTAAATACGTTTCAAGAATGTGATCAAATTGCGAACCAAACTCTTGTCAATAAAGCTTATTATTGACTTGTTTGAGTTAAATGTTCATCTTTGTCAGTAAATGACCTCGTTAACACATGGAATGATTTCGAGGGCACACTGACACAGTGTTTAGGGCAGATCCTCAGCAGGCAAGGACGGAAAATACAGGTGGATAAATAGCGCTGTTTGTTCATTTAGCTGTGTTCCTCGTGCCATTCAGATAAACCCACTGACCTTTCTTTTCTTTGAATTAACTCCACATTATATCTTCTTACTGTATGTTTTACTGCTGATGAAGCTGGGGCCTTAGGCGACGCTCTCTTTGCAAGAATCTTTCGGCATCCAGTGGATTTTGTTGTGTCTGTCTACACATGGATGCTACATTTATTCTTAAACAAGGGCGTAGCGTTTGGAGTTCCTGATGTTTTTGTCTCATCTGTCCTGAGAAGACTTGATCAGATTTATTTATTAGTTTGACTTGGTTCAGGTTTTTACAGTAGGTGTAGTCTTTATTTGTATAAGCTTGAAAGACCTCACGTCTTGCCTAGCGATCTTGGTACTCATTAACTGGTATTGGGGCTCATTTTCTCTGTGCAAATCGAGTTACTGTAATCGCATTTTAATGTACAGTGTAGAGATCTCTACGGAGGGTTCAAGATTTGTCACATGGATCATAGAGAAGCACTTGTTTTTTTTTGTTTTTTTTAGCATGCATATAGTTTAAACACTATTGTCTAGGCTGCTATTTCTTACTGTATGTATATTTAATGTAAATATATAATCTATTTATCAAACTGTTCATTTTTTTCCCCGTGTCAACGTGAGTCAGGTGTCTTATTATCGCTGCAGTCTCTTAAAAGTGTCGCATCCTTCACAGGAAGTTTGGTTCCCTTTTTCATGTTGAAGACAACTCGATCAGACCCAGAACAAATCAGAACATTTAACACCGCTGTGACCGCTGTTCTCCCACAGGAGACAGTTGTTCACAGGCGCAGCCTCACTGATACAGCGCCGGCTACCTATAGAAACCAGACAATACAGGCATTGTGAGTGTGTCCCCCCCCCAGCCCCCGCCCCCACCAGTCCCAGGTAGTTCTCAAGGGATCATTGTGTGTCTCCCTCCGAGCTGCAGGGAGAAAAGGCAGCACCGTTTTTTTTTTCTCTTTGCACTTTTTCTGTATTGAATCGAGCCGTTGGAATGTGAGAAATGTATTTTGCAAAAAAAAAAAGGAGAACAAGGACACTGTAAACAGGTGTATTGTTTGGAGGCTTCAAAGAACAGACTCCCCTCCCTCCATATCCCAGCATGTAGTAGATAAACACTCCATTGTTCCTCTACATGGAGGAGCTGCCACGTTGATTTGATTGCACATCTATCAAGAGAATATCACAGTTATTGGAGTATTGTTTTTCCACGCGAGACTGATAATAACATGCCTGTAAACTGTGGAGAAGAGGTCAGATTTACCTGTCCATTTCAACATAGACACGCTGAGGTGTATTTACTCTTTCAGGACACATGAATCAATTCATGTCTCAATTTGCATTTATGTATTTTAGAATGTTCTTGATCAAGAAGCCTTAGTGGAGAAGGAATCGAACCATTTCCCTCTGGAAAAACTGGGATCTGTTTTCACTCTCCTCTGGCTCGAGTGAATGCAGCTCGTGCAAATTTGAAATTGGCTGCCTGATTACTTGCACAAACACTCCCGTTGTTCACAAGTTTAATCACTTCTGTTAGTCGTCAGATCAAATAGGTATATTTCTGATGTAGACCTGTTAATATTGTATATTTGAATCAGAACACACTGGAATGTAGATTTTGTCACTATTTCATTTTTTTAAGGAACATTTGTATCGTGGTGCAAAATGAACTGTTTGGTTTTCTAATGTACATGTGTACAGAGGTAGAAAAAACTAACAAAAATGTGATTCTTTTTTTTTTTTTTTTCCTTTTTATTGTTTGAAGTCTTTATTTATACCTCCAGGATGATAACCAAATGTGCCTTGTAGACACACAGATAAGTGTTGCATCTGGAGAAACCCTTTTTCTATATTGTACATTTTTGCCTAATCTGCAGTGGTAACCTTCAAATCATAGCAGCAGTGGTCGCCCACTGATTTTTTTCTTTTCTATCATTTCAAAATATACATCAAGACAAACTAAAAGTCTGTTCATTTCTGCTGCTTTGCGAGAGATTACTTTCACATTTTGAGATTGATTTGACTTTTTTTTGTTTCTGTGAATACGTTTCTTTTTAATGGCTGTGTTCAACTGAAGACAAGCGTTTTTTTTCTTCTTCTGATTTGGCTTTTTAGAAGTCAATACTACTGGGAACTAACAAGTCAGCTCCTTTAGTTAATGTCACTGTTGAATGTGAAACACTGAGATGTTTGATTGTTGAATGGAAACAGTGCTACTCTTGATGGAGGGCTATGTTTGCCTGACTCATGCTGTATGACGTTTAAAAAAGGACTTCACTGATACTGGAACTTTGTCCTCTGCAGGTTGCAACTGTGAAATTGTGTATAATCATGAGAAATATTTATTATTGCATTTGCTACTTGTGCAACATTTGACTTTCTCAGTTTTAATTTGGATTAAAAAAAAGCTTCTCAATGTCAAACGGAAACTCTTTTTAATAGAACTTGTAGAAGTGCCATTAGAATTTAATATAATTTTTTAAAATAAGAAATGTATATTTTATAGTAATGAATTACTTCAGTGTTAGGGGGTAGAGATTAGAGGACAATCCTTATGCAGAATTGACATTGCTTAGATATGGAGGCGATTTCATTTGATCTATAAATGTATGTGCATTTTCTTTGTTTTGCGCTTCTGGAGTGTGCCTATGTGTGTGTGCGTGTGTGCGTGTGTGTGTGTGCTGTGGAAATGTGACAATCTTGATTTAGGTCTTTCTTAAGATTATGCATAGAATTAAAATGGAACAACTTTCATGCATTGTGTGGACTTCATTTATTCTTCACTGGGTTTCATAATCATCGATCAGCCATAATGTTATGCAAATTAAGCAATCCAACACAACAGCTCCACCAATAGAATCTACTTTTACAAAGCTTTACATTTTTACTTTTTAGCTGCCATGTTCAAACGGTGGGTGGTGGTGGTATACTGGAGTAAATGATATTGAAAAGTGTTCCTAATACTTGCCCTCTCCGTTTACATACATGAGGGGAGAAAACTATTTGGAACACTTCGAGGCTTGATCTGGACTGGATGAAGCCCAATTGACTTTGGATCAAGCTTCGAATTGACCATGACCTGGATGACTGAGAATCTACACAGACATATTTGGAACCCCTTTTTCTTAAGAATGAACCACAGTACACCACCCACTATGACCATATGAGGGAGAATTATCAGCTTTCTGACCATGTCAACAAAAACATGAGAATATAGACATTTCTAAAAGTAGAATTGATTGCATTAGATTGTGTAGGTGGTCATCATTTTATGGCTGATCTGTGTGAATCACTTTTAAAGACCTAAAGCTTCAATTTACAGTCATACGTAAAAACAAAAAAAAGTTAAACTCTGGTATGCTATAATTTAAGAACAGCCCTTCTCTGACTCACAGCAGCAACAATCAGTGTGTGTTTGTGTGAAGAACTGTAATGTGTACACCGACAACAGCAAGTGATAAAACTGCAGGTCTAACAGGCCGTCTCCCTCTGAAACCGTAAACTGAGCTCAAGGACGCAGCAGCTTCATGATTGTCTCCCATTGTTTCTGACCTGTTGCCATTACTCTGCACAGGAGATAAACCTGGGACAACAAAGGCAGTTGACCGAATGTGTTTATTACTCAAACTGAGCCAAAACACACATGTATTTGTCAGTGCAAACACAAACACACACACACACACACACACAGACACACACACCCCAAATGTGTGTCATGCCAATTCAGTGGACAGTTTCAATGGCGAGAACTTTTAATTATTCCCCGGCTGCACCATGAAAGAAATCCAGCTGCTCTGCTACGTGATCCCAATGGGGATATACTCAGGTTCCCACCAACCCTCCCCCAGTCCCAGCTCACTCATTCTGGGAACAACATATAGACAAGGGCTGCATCCCACCCCCCCCCCACATCCATCCCACCTCCACCCCCACAGGCCCCCAAAACCACGGCCCCAAACCTCAGCCTCATCCCCACACTCTATTGTGTGCGTGGGTAGTAGCTCAGCCAGGCTATTGTCTGGCCCAGCTCCCCAGCAAGTACTTTATGCTCAGTCGACACAGCGGCGCTAGCCAGGCAGCTCCAACATAAAGAAAACAATGTCTTCCCAAGATCATTCATAAACACCCCGAGCAGTCCCGGCTGGCTCACAGTAAATAAGGGCCCTCCCTCTGCAATGCTGTGGCCACCAAACACTGTAAACATCACCAGCAGCAGGCCTCAGAGCACTTGCTGGCACCAACTTCTCACATCTGCCTGATGCAGAGCTTAGACTGCCCCATTGTGTGTGCATGAGTGTGTGTGTGTGTGTGTGTTTGATTCTTATGGGCCCAAAACCTTCACATGGAAAGTAGGGGCCATGTGATAGGGCTTAGCTGCAGGGGTGACGAGCCGGGATATGTGCTGTGTAACTCGATGGTGTAATAAAACATTCCTCTCTTCGAGGCTCAAAGCCCGGCTCATTTGGCTGCGAGTGGCTTTGTGTATGTGCGTTTGTGTGTGTGTGTGTGTGTGTGTGTGTGGTTTAGAGGTACTTGAGAGAAGTTGAGAGGAAAGTTGTAAGTGTCCACCAGCTCAACAAGGCCAGCGGTGGGAGCCCTTGACCTCTGAAGGGACGGACTGCCAGGGACAGCTGGTGTGGCCTCTGTTTATTTATTTATTTCTTAACAAAAGACAGGTGGTCACACTTGAAAAGGGCACACAAACACAGTCACACATGCACTTGTGTACAGACAATGCACACACACACACACACACACACACACACACACACACCAACACGGGCAGATTTCTTTTTCTCTCTCTCACCTGCATATGGTTATCATCCACTTAATTGTGGAGGAGCCATTGTTTTGACTTTCAGGAAATCCAAACAACATTGTTCCCGAGAGTAAAAAAAAAAAAAAAAGGTAGTTCTAATTAAGAATATAAAAGTCTGGATTTAAACAATCTTAATAAGTGAGTATTACTGCCAACGTCGAGTGCTACAAACATTTAAAAAGCAACATTTAATGCCTCAATCTGAACTGTGTACACAACATGCATACTGCCACAAGTGCATAAATACATATCAACTAGTGCCCTCACACTGGGTTTGCCTTTTTTGGAGTGGCTCGCCCTGACAGTGCCAAGACACTGTGTCCTTGATCCACTGTACAGCTGTCACTTACTCACACTCGTTGACGCATATTTATAGCAGCAGCATCACTGGGCCCACCGCCGCTCGCCACACTCAGACCACAGCTGGTCCCCGAAAGAATGGGTGAAAGACAAAGCCACGTGCTCCCGCTGGCCGGCTGCAGTTGGTCCTGTCTGCAGCGCTGTGGGTGATTATGTGGCCCCCTTTCTCCGCGCTGCAGACACCCAGCCACACATGGAGCATGCCGGAGAGAAGGAGAGGTGGGTGGAGGGTTTGGGGGAGAGAACAGTGACCCTCAGATGCGATGAAAGTCTGGACAGCTCTTGTTTTTGAAGACAGATCAACCCAACACATCATCATTTTATGGAACGGGAGAGAGCATCCTCCTATTTAATAAGTGCAAGTCATGCTTGAACATATTCTGTAACGTGCTATATCTGGACTTGTCTTTAAAAAAAAAGAATTGGGAGAGGAAGAAAGACATGGAAGGCCCGCATATATCACTGAGACTGTTTGCTAAGACTGGAGGCAATAAGTGACATAAAAATGATGAAATTCTTGATGATTCATGTATTGTTTTGGACAACAATCTTTTCCTACGTGTAATGCATTACAATCCCTTCCTTCTAAATGAAAATTGTACTAAAGAAAGGTCTGATGCAATGACGGATCAGAGGAAGTGTCTGGAAACAGCTGGATAATAAAGAGCCATTTGTAGGTCAAAGACAGCTTTCGATATCTGTGCATCACTTTGACTTTTAACTCCTAACAGTGTTACTCTTCTAACAAAGACAAACTCATCTCAGATGGCATCGAGAACTTTTATGGAAGAAAGGACGCTCCACCTGACACTGGTCAAGACTGTAGATTAGATCTGACAACTCAAGGGCCAAGTTGTTTTAATTTCTGTACCTGTTCATATATTTGTGTCCATGATAACACTTAGAAGGGTCATTAAGCATTAATGAATCTAAAGTGTATTTAAAGTGATATGCTCACTAACATGTTGCTTCCACCTACTCAAAAAGAAAAGTTGATTTTAGGCTTCATGGAAATCTGGGGGTCAAAGATTATTGTCTACATTTTGATTTGTATTTTCAATTGGTGCAAGAGAAATAAAGACCCCTTTAAAAATACCCATTGTTTCAATTCAGGAGCTCTTTATTGATGACCAAATGATTACTTCATTATGAAGGAAATAATTGTGCAACAAAAAAAGAATAAAAATAAAAATAATAATAATCTCACAGCCAAAAGGTAACATATTGTTCTATTGTTCTCAATCGTGCAGTTCAAGTTTAATCCATAAAACATCTAGCCCTTTTTTTTTTTTTACAGATGTTTTGCCTCTTCCAACACTTCAACCAACTCCAGATGCCTTTGAGAATTAAACTTTGAATCATCTTTTAATGTTTAAAAACATTTTTTTTCAAGATAAGCTAACATTTGAGATTTTCCTCTCTATTCATGTCTTTTACCATTAGTTAGGCTATATATATATTTTTTTTTAAGTAGTTGCAGATTAATTATCCAGCTATTGACTTATCATTCCAGCTCTATTTTTGTTTTTTTATAAGAATAAACTTTTAACTTCTTCAGAACTATTTCAAGCGTGTATGTCCAGCTTTGACTTTCTTAAAGTCTCATCAAGAATGGTGCAGACAGCCCCGACACCCGGCTTGCCAGCAGCTGTCTGTTCACTGAGCCAGAAATCAAGCGCTGCCCCCGGACACCAACTGCAGAGCTCCCCAAAGAGTGGAGCCACAACTGGCCCGCTGAGCAGGGGATGTGACTCAACAGCTCCTCGGCGCATTTGCAATAAGCTCCGGGAAATGCACTCATCCAAGCTAATATCTATAAGACCATGTCATGTGATTGATTTTCTACAGAGCAGTACGGAGGACTTCTTCCACCAAGAACAATTACTCACGGCGCACAATACCTGACCCTGACACCGCTCGTCATCAGTGACGAGCCACAGCCAAGACAAAGTGATGACCGCAGCTCAAGGTCACGTCCGGCAGGGATAATTGTTGCCAGATTGTCTGCTGCAGAGGTCTGCTTCTCTTCAGCCTCTGGGGCTTCTTGTTTTAATAAATAGATCTGATAACAAGTCAGTCCAGAAAAGGCTGGACTGGAATTTCAATTTCAGGACCAAATAAAGAGAAAACTCAAGTATTCAAAGTGAAACGTCGAAAATCTTCCTCTTTAGTATGAAAAAGGAAGTTTGTGTCACACCTTCAATGTGGCCCAATCTGAGAGGAACTTGTCCTTTGATTAAGTCTTTGAAGTGTCGCCATCTGCTGACAGATCTACAACACATGACAAGTTTTATAAACTGTAAAGCCCAGATGTGATTATTTAAAAACTACTTTATACAAAAAAAAAACATGTGACTAACCAGATGTATCCTGTTTTCTTGGGGTTTTGTATTGTAATTTTTACATCATTATTTTTTATAAATGTATTTTAAAAGCTCATCCCAGGGGACTACGGTGGCCTGGTAGTTGGTGTGCATGCCCCATGTGCGAAGACTGGTCTTCCAGGTGGGCAGCCCGGGTTCAAGTTTGACCAGTGGCTTCTTTCCCGCCTGTCATTACCCAATCTCTCTCTCGGATTTTTCAAACTCTAGCCACTGTCCTCTCTCCAATAAAGTGCACAAAAAGCCTGAGAGTAAATCTTCAACAACAAAAAAAACACAAGCTCATTCGGGACAGGCCTCATAATTAACTTAGACTAGAAATGCTGTGTTGTTTGCTTTTCTGTTCAGCATACTTGCCCATATATAAATTAATTAACAAAAAAATAAAACAGCCTTCTCATTGATCAAAATTGTAGTTACTGTATTATGAAAGATGTTCTAAAGAGATGCCCTCAGTTCATTGTGTATAAAAGTGTTCAAGTTTATTTCAGTTAGATAATGCAGTACATATATACAAGGAAAGATGTAGATTACATAAAACATGTCACAATAAAATGCAGTCTTAGTTATCTCATGTGAGACGATATATATATATTTGTTCAAACAAACTCCCGATCCTTCTTCAGTCTCTCTATGTCGAGCAGCTGCAGCATATAACTTCATCATATCTTCCGCTGTAACTGTGGAGCAAAAGGAAAGATTATATTACAGTTATTAACATCAATTCAGCAAAACTTCATCATCCCTGTGGGACATTTCTGGTGCAAAATTAAAAAAGATGAAACTGAACATGCAAAAAAAATAAAAATAAAAATAAAAAAGTTATGAAAAAAAAGACTTCAGTAGTTGATGTTGAACCACCAACCCAATGAGCGATGGCCAGCCTGCTCTTCTACCTATGAGCTACAAGATGATGTGAAGTCAAGCATTCTCTAGGTTCAAAAATATATTACACAAATCAGTGGACTGTAACCCCTTTATGGAACAGGGTCAAATAACACCCCAACACAAAACAGAATGGAAAAAAATACAAAATTACAACACAATATACCAATGTTGTAATTAAGAAGAAATAATAATCAGTGCAAATAAAACACACAGCACAATTCCCCAACAACGGTTGATACCAAGATCTTGACAATGTATCAGACCAGAGCTAAACTTACTCTATGATGGTGCAGACAGAGCAGCAGAGGTTGGAGCAGCTGGAGCACTGTCGGGTGCAGGAGGAGCAGCTTAGACGCTCACATTGGGAGCATGGCGTCATAGAGCCCTGGTTCTTGTGACACACACCGCAGCCTGTGGTAGTCACTGCTGCACCTAGACAGAGAGCAAACATCCAAACAGCACACTCTGGATGAGCTTTTTATCAAAGAACCCAGTTTTAAAAAGTAACTAGGCTAATCATCCATATATTTGACAAACCTGACACCTGCTGGTGACAAGCATGAACTGAACTAACAATCTGACTTTGTCCGCTGAGTAAAGCAACTTCTTTGGCTTTGAGCTGTCTCCCTAATAAAGCAATCACTGTACACCATGGATATTATATGACCACATAGTATTCAGAATAAGATTGTCAGGGATTCAACTGCACAAAAAGGTTTGAATACGACATGTGACAACGCTCAACACTCTCTCTTACCACCTTCAGAGCAGACAGTCACTACTTGCAACACAAAAATGGAGCAGCAGAAAGCGAGGGGAGTTTGTCCTTAAGTTTATGGATCCAAGTGGTGGTTATACAGATTTAAAAAAAAAGTTAAAAACATTCTGCACATATACTTAGGCTGTTAATACATTAGCAGCCCACACATTATGCATGTGTGGGGAAACACTGCATACGGATCACCAAGACTGGCAAGTTATTGCAGAGTCAAAAAAAATAGGAATAGCAGACAAATCTGAAGAATCACGCCCCTCATTCATGCTTTAGTTGCAATTAAAAAGTATTTGTTAATATAATATATATATATATATATATAAATATATATTCACATGCCGTTGTGAAAGTACCATGATAATGCATTCAATTATGCTACTTAGGATGCCTATGCCTCATTTTAGCTTCAGCTGAATTTCAAAAATACCCTTTACTACAGAAAAGGAACCAAAACAGTAACTAACACGTCCTTACATTTATATATTGGCTTATCTGCATTTTACTATGATTTGAAAAAAAAACGTTGCAAATGTCAAAATTTAGATGGAAAAATCCAAGAGTCAAAACAACATCATGAATGGTCGTTGTGCAAGTATATTTACGTTTTTAGGCTCTCAGAGATCCTAGGAACTCCAACAAATCATTGGTTGTGTGTGTGTGTGTGTGCGCGCATGTTTTGTAGCGTCCAGCTTCTTCATGAGGTTAAAGATTATACTAACCCAGTCACAAGTTCAGCCACGTCACTACTCCTCTTCCAACAGCAGAGGTCAATGTTCTCAAACATTTGGACTTTGTTTATTGTTTTAGTATCGACCCTGCTGAGTTTTCAGCGTCTACTCCACATTATCAGTGTCTGTCACCAAAATGTATTATTGGGGTTCAAGTGACCTTCTGCAGTGTGACACCCACAAACATGTGGCTTCTGTTTTTGTCGTTTTGGTTTCATTTTAGCCATCATTTCACCTGTCAGGCTTACCTTGAGCAGCATTCCCTCTGGTCAGTCTCCCATCGTGTCCAATCAGTGTCTGTCCTCTTAGTAACGCCTGGCTGTATGCAGGTGTTTCTACTTGTCCTGTGGGCTGCGGGTCATTAATCCTCTCCTCCCCAGGCCAGACTTTTCCCATCACTGCCTTGGCCCCATTAAAGAGCAAGTTCTTAGTCTTTTCTGTGAAGAAGAAAAAAAAAAAACATCCACTTATAAATAAAGTTACACATGAGCGACTCAGCTGACCCTCCTCGTTTGTTGCCTTCATGTTGTCATTTACAGAAACACAGATAGTCTGAGTTCACTCCTTGTTGCATCTCACAGGTCAGCAAGCAGTCATGTTTCAATAGTGTTTTTTTATCTAGACGCCCTATTAATGACATGTTATCACCTGTATGCGTATTCTCGTTTCGGAATTGGTAACATATGAATGTCTGAAATGTGCAAAAAAGCGACAAACGGATTGTTTTTTTTCGTAGTTTGCATCAGAAGACCGACGAAGCTAAGATAAGCTAACACTGAAACACACACGATGTGACTGCATGTACTCACCGTGGATTTCTCGCTTATATTTGTCACCACAAACGCCGTAATTATTCAGCTCCTGCTGTCCGATGTGTATTTTGTACTGGGAGGAAAATGTTTGTTGAAAAGGACACGCTCGTTTAGGCATTTTAGCTTTAAAAAGTTCTGGGGTGGCTCTCGCTGACTTCTCCTTGTTTGTTGCGGGAAAATTGCAAGTGACGCAGGAAACGAGCCAATGACACACGCCCTTTATTGTCACGTGAAATATCAGAGCCAATCAGCTTCTTCTCGTTCTGCTTCGCTCATTGTTTTTTGGCGGATCGCAAACAATTTAAAGGTAGGCTACTTTACCGCCACCTAAGGGACCAAGAGTGTGTAACATCACGTCGTTTACCTATATATCCTTATATCCCCTCTACTCCTCCATCTGTGCCCAGTATTACTCCCACATTTCACTCAAACCCTGTAGCTTTGACCTCCTTCTCTCCAGCTGCATACTACTACAATTATTATATTTTATTTTATTTAAAATGTATTTAACCAGGAGTAATATTATATCTTCTACATTTCAATTAAAGGGCACTCTCCTCCTTTTCAACAAGTTTAAATAATCCTCAGAGCTCCCCAAAACATGTCTTGGAAGTTTTTTTGTGTTTTGCATAATATGTGATCTTTAATTCCACATATTTCACACGTGTCACTGTTACTTTTCCCAGTATAAACATTGTCTCATTGTACCCAGAATGATCCACCCTAAGTGTCATTATCACGATTTCCTCCCTTCTCTTCCTCTCTTTACAGCTCTTTTTTTACAACTGATTTTAGTTTTTTTGTACAACCCCCTTCCTTTACGATCCTTTGTTTTTTTAATCACTACTTTCTCCTTTGGAAAGGAGATGAATTTTGTGTTTTTATATTTAATATTCTATTATACATTTTCTAATAGCCTTAAAATTTGTATCTTATTCTGTCAGCAGGGGCTCTGCTGTTTTTAGATTTCTTTGTTAACTGTTTTGCACCAAAACACCAAGTCAAGTTCCTTGTATGTGTAAATGTACTTTGCAATAAACACAGATTCTGATTCTGAATTGTGCTATCCTTTTTTCCAGTGCCCCTTTTGCTAGTTAGCCAGCACAGTAATTTTCCTTCAACCCCTCATGTGCAGGCACTCAACAAAACTGTACATCTATACCACCCATGTGAAGTCTTAGCAAACTATGATGAAGTTTCTATTAGTAAGACCTCTCTGATGATGTTTGTTGACTGTATACTTTGCAAGATATAGCTATTGAGTCTGTGCATACCACCATCCACCCACTGTAGACTAATAATAAATGCCATTATTTCTGCTGTATATAGAAAGTTGGTCTGACAGTCTTTTGGGGACATATTACAAATTCAGGTACGTACACACCTACTCCGACACATCCTTACCCATTCTTAGATTTGTCTGTATAGAATCAAGGTATTAGCAATAAATGTCCCTCCAGTTTGAACTCCCACTTCATTTATCCTCATTCTCTTTCCATTTCTAGGACACTCATAACTACCTTTGCCTCGGGGTACAACCACAGTGGTACACTATAACTGGAGTGGACTGGGTGAACTCCCAGGCCTCCATTCCATATGTTTTTGCACATACATTCCTTGTCCACCCAAACCCACGCCTCTGCAACCTAGAATACTCCCAACAACTATCTTTGTTTCAGCGTTTTCGTCTCTGCTTCCTTCAAGCCTGACCCAAAATGCAGAAGTAAGTTTTTCACTCCTTAGCTAGGTGTCTCGTCAGCTTACTGCATTAATGTGTCCTAATAGGTCCTGGGTATACATGCAATGCTCTATACTGTAGTATGTCCATTTTCTGCAACGGTGTTCCATATACAATACATCCATAATGTTGATCTCATAGGTGGCCTATGTATGTCCACTAATGCCTGTTTTTCTGCACCGCAATACCATCCAGCCAACATGCATAAAAATTACAACTTTTTTTACATTTAGTTTGCAAGTATTTTATACATGTTTTCCATGTATATTTACTATTTAGTCATAGCCGCAGATGTTTAAATTCATACAATATCTCCATATAATGTGCTCATTAGTTGACTTGTGTACATCATGTAGCATGATTTGCTCGTTGACAATTTCTCTACTTTCTTTATTGCTTTCCTGATGTTGTCTGCCTCATGTGACACATTCCTTCCCCTCATCCATATGACACCATGGACTGCATACAATGCTCCTTTAATACATCTATCTAGGTTTGCAAACACATCATGTATCACAATTTCAAACAAAACAGGGCCAATTGCACTTCCCTGTCTGATGCCATTGTCCATACCTCAAAATCCTTGACAAATCTGCTCCATCTTTGACTTGTATTTTCACTAAAAAAAATCATTATACAGTTATACATCCTGCCGCCAATACCCATTTGACTAAACTTGATAGGTAACCATTTCCTCCACATTGAACCCTATGCCTTTTCTATGTCAAAAAATACAATTGCCATAAGCTCTGTCATTGTCAGTGTCTTTTCCACCTAATTAACTAACTCTGACTGCAGGCAACAACTGCTTCAGTGTCAAAGGCTATATGAATGTTCACCTACGGTGCCTCTCTTACTGTGCTGCCTTCATGGACTTGCTTGAATATTGTAATTTCTGTTTTAAGGTGTCAAAAATGAATAGCTGTAGAATGGTGGAACATTTGGAACAGCAGGCTTGCTTTTCAATTCACAAATTTAAGATGCCTTAAATGAGTGGAGGGATTTCTTTTTTATTAAACAGGCAATTGTTTTGTAGTCTAATTTTGTAGCAGCAAGTGTTCATGTTTACCTTGAGGACAGTCAAAGTTGGCTTGAAGTCCCAAGCGTTTGATGATAAAGAGCGCGTCAGTCTTGATCTATCAACTTTTGTGAATAACATTTGTGTTGCTTTAAGTGATGAAATAGCCATACATTGACATTTATCTCATTGTCAAACTGAGTGATTGTTTTAATAAAATATTTTTCATTGCAACAAAACAACTTTAGCAAACACTGATCAAAGGTCACATTATATAGATGTCTTGTTTATTAACTAAAGAGAAGAAGATCATTTTAGATGATGAGTAAATGCCACATCGTGCCACATTTTCTGCACTTCCATCCAGGGGAGAAAAAGATATTCCTCTAGAACATCTGGATCATGCACTCTCTGGACTTTCCAACACCGACCCACTTGACTAAAGAGAGAGAGAAAGAAATAAGGATTAGAAAGCTAGAAGCACACTCAAAGTTATAACAATCAATACTGGAAAAGGCAATCTATAATAGGAGGAATAGGCTTATATAAATGATACCATGCTTTATTTTCATCATGCACAACTACTTTTTTTATTCAGAGGCCTTCAGGGAAAATGTTGACCAAGCATTTAGCTCTGAAAAGAAAATATTCAGATATAAAAGTTTGTTATTTTTTTGTCAGACATACTGGGAACTCCAATGTGGTTCTCAATGAAGCGGATGTAGTTCTGAGCCTTGGCTGGGAGGTCATTCCACTTCCTGGCTGCAGAAGTGTCAGTCTTCCAACCAGGGAAGGTCTCATACTCAACCTCCACTTTATGCAAAACGTCCATGTTGGCTATGATAAAAAAAACATAATACAATTATGAAATCAATATAACCTTTCACTAATCATAGCAAAGGGTTTTTGTGAGTCATATTCTTCCTTACCTGGGAAGTGGGGAATCCTTTTCCCATTGAGTTTGTAGGCAACTCCAACTTTTATTTCATCAAGCACATCCAGGATGTCAAGTTTTGTCAAAGCAATGCTGTATGAGAGGTAACATGTCAGAACTGTTTACTATGCGCTATTTATTAATATTTATTACATGGTGGTGGAGGACAGTATTGCTGTAGGATACATGTGATACTCTATCCAAACATGAAAACCACAAAACACCTGATGAAAAGCTTAAACTTCTCTAGACACTCACGCAGTGAAGCCGTTAATCATGTGAGCGTATCTGACGATGACGAGATCCAACCAACCGCAGCGTCTCTTCCTTCCTGTGGTCACACCCACCTCATGACCCCTTGTCTGCAGCAGCTCTCCTACTGCCTGGAGTGAACAGGGAAATACAGTGCTGCATGTTACTTTATTATTTCTGAGTTTTTATGATGTCAGGCTTCACTAATGAAACCTAAAAATATGCCATCAGCGCCTCAGTTAAAACACACAGCTGAGTACAATAACACATCATCACATGGGCTGGGAGGGGTAAAGTGTTAACATCTTGACCTATGTCCCTATGGTCAGTTCCCGTGACAAGTAACATAACCCCAGCTAGCACAGTAAATATATCCTGAACTCTGGCCCTAAATTTATCCCTGTGCACATGTGATCTGCATAAGAGGTAAAGGGTGTTTCAGCCTGTCTCACACAATTTGACAGCTGCACTCAGCATGAGAACGCCCCTCCCCTCCTTCCCTTCTCCTCCATGCAGGCCCTCTGCTTGTGTGTTCGCCCCATGATCACACACAAACATGTACATGTAGAGCTACTTATCACTGAGTTACATAACATGCTGAGTTGTCTCTTCTCCAAACAACACAAAGCCCATTGAAGCAGAGAAGATACATGAGACTATCTTATGAAGTCACTTGAGACGTTTATAGCTCTTACATTAAGTTGTTCTGTGGGGAAAGCCCCGATTCCCACTCTGGTTGTGTAGGCCTTTGATACACCAAACACATCGCCAATGTTCAGAGGTGGGATGCCAAGGCCGGTGCATGCCCCGCCCACAGTGCAGTTTGATGATGTCACAAAGGGATACGTTCCTGAGGAGAATCATTTTTCGTGTTACTACAGCACCAACTTCTTCCAAGGTCTTCTAAAAAATGTCTTCTCATTTATATTATGATATTTCACGTCATTGTTGCCGAGCCTACCAAAGTCGATGTCAAGGAGAGCGGCGTTGGCCCCTTCAACCAGAATTTTCTTTGGAGATCCATGGAGAGCTTCATACATGTAATAGACCCCGTCTCTAACCATCGGCCGCAATCTCTCACCATATTCCTGCATGACACAAGGAAACAAAAAGTATTTTTTGTTGTAAGTACTGAAAATCATCCATCACTTAGTAGTCAGCAATAGGGGTGATAATCACAGCCTTGGGATGATACCATAAAATATGATACAACACATGACCCATGATTGCATTTATATCAGGAACAAAGATTCTGCAATAA